CCTGAAAGTAATAATTGCCATGTTACCCAGTGGAATCATGGCTATATAGCAGTGATAACATTGTCGATTCATTACCCTTAAAGTTTAATGGCCAGTGTCGAAGTTCTTTTACATATTTTAAGAAAGAATGGCGCTGAAGTTTTGATTCAATGTACGATATTCGATTCGAGAATATTTTAGGACTATAAGTAATTCTTAAATAGGGACTTAGTTGCTTTAGGTTTCTTGAGGCGATTTATAAACTAATAGTCAGTTTTTTCTCACTGTGAATTAAATAAGCCTTGTGATACCGGCGAATTACGCCTAGTCTTTTATACCAAAAGGTTTTCTTATCGAGAATGGGCTGCAGTATCGGCCTCGCTTTGATCTTACCAGAGCCTCCAACCTGACCTCTAGCCTGATCTTGTAGATCGTGGTGACATTCCAACATTCCGTATATACAAACATTAATTTGGTTTCGATGAATCTCCGGTGATAATGGTGTTGAGTTGACTTTCATTTAATGCGCAAGTGCATAATAAAGAGATTTGATGATCGATATAATCAGAATACGATGCCTTATTCCAGGTTTTATGAAGTGATTTGGTGCTACTCCGACGTTCCTGGTTTCGCAATCCAGTCTTTCATCAACTTGAAGCAGATAGGGTGAATAACTCTCACATAACTGAGTTACTGGTAGTCTCGAAGCCCTACTTATAAACGAAAAACACTAAGATGTTGGTTTACCTCGTTGTCGCAACTTGGTCTTGTTGTCAGGGTGACTTAGTAGAACGCACCTAGTCCGAAGTTGTCTGCCATAGTAGTTGTTATGATTCCCAACATCAGACAGTGGACTTCGTACATTCTCAAACGTTTTGCCGGCATCGTAGTCGGCATCATTAGTGAGTTTTGCCATTTGCCGCGCCAAGCTACGAACTCGTCAAAGAGACTTATCTCTTTCGTAGCTTAGTGCGGCAAATGACAAAACTCACTGATGATGCCGACTACGATGTCGGCGAAACGTTTGAGAATGTACCAAGTCCACTGTCTGATGTTGGGAATCATGACAACTACTATGGCAGACGACTTCGGACTAGGTGCGTTCTACTAAGTCCCCCTGGTAACGAGACCAAGTTGCGACAACGAGGTCAACCCACTTCTATAAATCGAAAGGAGACTGCGACCATACCAGAGGCCACAATATCTTATTCTTCATATCTTCGAAAAACACTAAGTCAAAAAGACTATCCGGCTCTGCCCACATGCTATATATACGCATATATACACATATATATTTAATCTTTCTTATGCTGATCAGGGTATTATACTACTGTGTATGCATTTTTTTGTTTCAAATCGCGAGAGTGTCAAAGTTCGAAATACCACTCATAACTTCGCTTAACTATAAGAAAGCCTAACGTCATTCCCGGAGCATCAAGACGTAGTGAGCCAAATCGAAGTCTGCTTAATGGCAGGAATCAGAAGCCGTCTTCTGGTGAGACCGATCCACCAATATTTTCATCAATCGCTTCAACATAAAATGAAATTCATCCTAAGCCTGTCATCTTCACAAATTCATCGGAACCCAGTTAGTATTCGTATATACAGAACAGTAACATGTCCCCACGAGCTGCATAATTCGGTTAAGGATCAAGTTGGAGGTGTTGATGAGATCTGAACGCTAGAATGCAACGAGTGCTCTTGGGTCACAGGGCAGGTGTGAATTTGAAGGGAGGCCAGGCATTTTCCATTTCACATTCTTTAGTGGGATTGTCGATAGAGCAAAATTATATTTGTTATGTCAATCGATGAAATTACATATCTTCTCGTTTGCAGGTAGGTTTTCGAGGCCACTAGTTAAGCATGTCTCATATATTTGATTTACTGGTATGCTTGAATTCCTATTTACAAACGAAATAATGTGTAGTAGTCGGTTACCATAGCAAATATAACATTGCTTCATAGAAAATTTCACCGGAGAATGTGATATGGAAAAATACCTGGCCTTCCTTGAAATTCACATTTACCTTGTGATCTAAGGGCATTCGTGGCAATGTGGCGTATTGGTTAAAATATCAAGATTATACGCTGCAGTATCATGGTTCGAGTCCCTCTAGCAAGGTCGAAATTGCAGTCCACCTCGGATGAGGACACATTTTAGGAGAGTAAGTCTATGCAAAATTCAATGGAAATGTAAAGTGTACCAATATACTTGTGGGAAAATTCAACTACTAGTCCTTCATTACTTTAAATCAAATGAGGTGAACATGCAGATCCGACTTCGCCTCGTCTCATTCCTTCTTCAACATTTAAAACGGTATGCGAACTGTGAAGGAGTTAGCAAAGAAGATGACTTTGCTCTAGCCACATTCTGTTGCACGATAGACATGAATAGAAGACGTCATTTTGTGGGTGGCTTCGTATCGATATGCAAATGTCTGTTTGCCATTAAACTAGAAATGCTGTCGATTTAAGGGGTTAGTAACGGTGTTTAAAATTAATTTTTCTGATATAACCAGACAAGTATCAGCCTCTTGATGGATCTGAAAGAAAGAAATGAAAGTATGAGATTATAATAATTTTGAAGATGCTGACTCGGCGATAAGAACGGTATTATAAGATGCCGGCTCAATTAAAATTAATTTAATTTTTGCAAGCCTACTATCCACCAAATAAGTAAGCATTCAAAATTGCCAAAAGTCACACTGCTCTTCACAAGTTCTCTTATTTCTTTAGCCTTTTATACAACCTCGATTGGACTCGAACTCAGACCCCTGCGTCAAAAATGTTGACCACGCGGCTAAACACTGTCGTAACAACAGCCTACAGGAGAAATGGCCAAGTAGCAAGTTTATGGACAAAGGTGACAGAAACTCTGTCAATGTCTCTAAAATTTCTTAGGCAGCCCAGCTCGCGAGACAAAGATCTTTTGGGAACTTGCTTTTGAGTTAAATTGTCAATCTTCCGGTTTGCTTTCAACTCTGAGACAAGACGGCTGAAGATGTCGGCATAGTTGACCTTCCCCTTGAGCAGAATGCCGTACTCCTGAGGCTTATACTGGCCCGTGACTCGCCAGCAGTACTTGTAGGCGTAGTAATGCAGTGTGAAACTGTCGAGGAGGAGGGCGAACTTTGTCTCGTTAACAGCTGTCAGTGCCTCATCTATATTGGTCATCAAGCCGTTATTGTAGACGTGGCGTGCAAGTAAATTGATCTTTCGCATGGGTTCTGTAGCGCTGGAGGCCAAATCGAAGTCGGTGATTGAGCCGGCCAGAGTGCCAAATGTGTAGCTTGTGTCAGTGAGCAGGTCCTGTCGAGGGGACCAGGGCGAAAGGGTTGTTGAGTAAGAGATGGTTACGTTAAAGTGATAAAAAGGCGCTGATATCCTCGGAGTGAATGCCGTTTTGGAATGATTCGTAAGGTGCATTTGTTAAAATTTACTACTAAATTCACTACAAATTAATATACATGATTTTTATACTTTTCGTCTTTACTTGGTTTTTGATGGTTTATTAAAACTCTTACCTTAGTTACTCCAGACTGTCAATAATAAGAGATAGATTCACCCTAGGTCATATAAAGAGATAAAAGACATATAAATCAATGTTTGGAGTGTACTAAGAATGAATATTACTAATTTTTGCATAAAAGCTTATTGACCAAAACTGATTTAAGTGCCCATATTGTAACTTACAGCAGACATGCAATAATAAGCGAAAAATTGCATTTGCGGCCATTTTAAGCACAATTTATTCTATGTGCACAGCTTCCTCGAATGGCGGAACATAACGAGCTTTACAGACAAATTTTGTTCAGCTTATCTTTGACGAATTGGTCGGCTGGTCTCCCCAATATAGACGACCACACATAGATTAAAGTATATAATAAAGAAAAGTTGGTTTTCGAGGAAGCTTTTGGCTTACACTTTTTTGGCTCAACTCAAGTTTATATGAAAACTATGAAGAAGAGAGTCTAACTTCGCTCCCACTAAAAGAAGATAGTGAATTCCTCTTGAACATCTGCTGCTTGGCTCCATTGGAACGATTTGATTGACAATATCCCCA